GCATCAGTTCCAGTTTCAAAAAACGTCAATGTGAAGGACATTCTTCGGAGTTTGGTTAATATGCCAGCAGATGGAGTCACAGTGGATCCAGCCCTTCTACCCCCCACCTGCCTTGGTGCTCTTGGGGATCTGTCTGTTGACCCACCTGTACAGTTCAGATCTTTTGACAGGTATGTAAATAACTGTTTGTTTCGGTATGCTGATGTTTGCAAATTCTAAAGGCCAACAGGAATTCATTATGAAAGTCTAAATTTTGTGGCTTTAACATTAGAGTAGAATGTTTTGATCTAATTTATAAAAAAATATAAGGGTGGGTTTGCTGTGTGGTTTGTGCAGTATTTCAAACATTTATTAACATTTTATGTGCACCTAAAATTATTAGTAATGCACATTGTGTGTGAAAGAGCCAGCCTGCCTGCCTGCCTGCCCTCCTCTCTCTCCCTCCGTCCCTTTTTTTTTTTTGGTTACACCTCAGGCATTATTTGAACTTGCCATAGATGCCATAAATTCCCTTGCTTTCAGTTGTGTCAGCCTTTGTGACAACAACAAAAATGGGGATCCAGATGTCAGCGAATACAAGAATTCAACCAGGTGTTCTGAGTATGGGTAGTTTGAAAAAGCTAACTACAGAATCTTTGTTGATTTTTGTAGTCCACAGGATTTTTTTTTTTCTGAGACAGGATTTTTCTGTGGCTTTGAAGGCTGTCCTGGAATTTGCTCTGTAAACCAGGCTGGCCTTGAACTCACAGAGATCCGCCTCCCTCTGCCTCCTGAGTGCTGAAATTAAAGGCTTGCTCCACCAATGGCCAGCTGGAATTTTTGTTTTTATAGATTTGGCTATTTTTCTAACTACCCAAGACCTCAGTATTGCTAGGGATATGCCCAGCAATCAGTTGTAATATATCATCAGCCCTTCTGGTCATTGTCTTTATAAAGTTTTCTTATGTTCTACCTTTAACACAGTTATTGAATGAATACTTGTAAAAATTAGTATTTTTATCTGGAAACAAACTAATGTACGGGAAAGTTCCTACTGAAAAACTTTTTTGAGACATTAAATTGCTAATATGGCCGGTTTTGGTGGCTCACGCCAGTATGATTTGCTGAAGGAGGCAGAGGCAGGAGGATCACGTGTTTGAGGCTAGCCTGGGCTACACATTTTTAAAAGCTGGGCACTGGTGGCACATGCCTTTAGTCCCAGCACTCAGGAGGCAGAGGCAGGCGGATCTCTGTGAGTTGGAGACCAGCCTGGTCTACAGAGCAAGTTTCAGGACAGCCTCCAAAACAATACAGAGAAACCCTGTCTCGAAACACCAAAAAAAAAGTTGCTAATATGCTAATATGCTACTTAGATACTTTATTAATACTTTCTGTATAGATATATTATTATTTTTAATAAGAAAATTAAAATTTTTACAATGCTTTTTAAATCTTAAAGTACTGACAATTATTATCTAAATTTCTTTAAATTATTTAATATTTTTATTTATTCTTTCACAACTTTTATGTATATATAATATACTTTAATTATTCATACCTCATTTTCCTCTTATCCCCACCCACCTCCCATTCAACCCTTCTTCCTATCAACCATCATTCCTACTTTGATTATTTTGTGTGTGTGCTTCACTACCTTTATTTATTTATTTAAATTATGTATGTCTGTGTATGGATATGTGCCCATGAGCGGCAGGTGCCTGTGGAGGTCAGAGGATCCATTGGAGTTGGAGTTATTTATAAGTAGTTGTGAACCAACTGACATGGGTGGTGGGAACTGAACTCTGATCCTTTGCAGGAGTATAACCACTGAACCATTTTTTTTCTTCGAAACAGGGTTTCTCTGTATCGTTTTAGAGGCTGTCCTGGAACTCGCTCTGTAGACCAGGCTGGCCTCAAACTCACAGAGATCCACCTGCCTCTGCCTCCCGAGTGCTGGGATTAAAGGCATGCACCACCACTGCCCAGCTCTGAACCATTTTTTTTTAGATGCTTCTTTATACACACTGTATTTAATTAGGATTTTTTTTACATGAGCATGGACAGTGAGTACTTTACTGGAACAGGGAAGATTTATCAGTGGCTTACTACTGAGGAATTTGATTCTTCATCCAATAGCGACCATTTTACTTCCATAGATCCATAAAGGAGGGTGGGGCCTTCCTGCATCAATGCAGATTTCATGTAGATAACCACTGTTCTTGTAAGTTCATGGGCACTACAGCCATGCTGTTTCTAGAAGGCATCATTTCATAGCACTTCATCCCATCCTCCAGCTCACTGTTTTGCCGTGTTCCCTATCTATGCCTTGGGGTTTGTGATACGATTTTTCACTTATTCTCTCACCAAGTTTAATAGCAGTAGTAATCTATGTGTAAAATTACAATTATTTGAAGTTAATTTGACAATATATCCATTTAGAGAAACAATAGCAATAGGTTCCTTTGTCTAGTTCCCATAACCTCCCACCCATGAACTTTTGAATAGGTTTATAAAAGCAGATGTGGATTCCCTTCTGTAGAGCTGGCCTCAGATCCAAGCAAAAAATGATTGGTTCTCACATAGCAATTATGCTACTTACTATTGCACCAATGAGACCATGTGGCCTGGTTGGCTGGTGGTACAGAATTCTTAGTTTGGTAGGATTTGTAATGGCTTTTTCCCTTCAGCAGCAAGCACAGTACCTTCTTGCTCCAGGAAAGCTAGCCAGCAGGGAAGAAGCCTCCAGTTCAATTTTTACTTGATTTTTCTGTGTCCCATAACCAAAGTATGTTATGCTTTAGCAATAGGATCTCATCGTCTGGTTTCTGTGGGCAACCAACAGCAGTGGGAATAGCCTGTTCAATAATAGTCTTTTAGGTCAAATGATCCAATTTGAGTTGATGTCTGTTCAAGTCTTTAGATGTCCCTCAATTTCTGTTTATCTAATATTACCTTAGAATTAGATTCAGGTTAGTACATCTTTGGCAGAAATATCACAGAAGCGACAGTTCTCTTTGTTGCTCCCTGTCCAGTGGCATATGTATAGATTCATCTTATTACTGATGCACCAAGTTTCTCTACTGTTATGGAATTCTTTGTGAATAGAAGCTGTAAAATTCCATCACTTTATCAGATTTTCTGTTCATTCGTTTTATGGACTTAAGGTTTTCTGTCTTATTTTGTGGCTCCTAATATTAGAGGCTATGTAGTAATGTTTTTCAGTTAGTTTAGTCTTAGTCCTCTATATTTCCCTCTTTTGTAAAGAATATCTTATTGTGTTGTTCAGGTCAGCTTCAGATTCATCAGCTCAAATGATTATTTTTCCAGAGACCCTTGAACTCATGGTAATCTTTCTGTCTTGGTCAAGGCTAGGATTATAGGTGCAAGCTACCATGTCATCTTAAAATTAGCTTATATTTGTGCTACTGTTAATAATAAAAACAATTGGGTGACTCTGCGTTTTATTTGTATACTTAAAATGTTTTTTAATGAGTGACACACATTTTTAATTAATTAATTAATTTATTTTTCAATAATGTTGAAGTTAAATCTCTTTTCTCAGTGCCTTAAGTCAGATTATGCATTTACTTAGGGAATCCTGCTTAGATACTTACTCAAAAAGATTTGTTGATGTAAGAAAGAAACAGTAATTTTGCTGGTAGCATTTTCAGGATGTTCTGTGTATCTTAACATGCCTGGTATGCATTTAATATATTGTCTGATGGAGTACAATCTTTTCTGCCCCCCCCGTCTTTTTTCTTAGCAAGAGACACCTTTTGAAAGATTTTTTTACTTGAATCCATGGACCAATGGAGTGTCTTTGGGAATTTCAAAGCATCCCTCTGATCATGTGTTTATCTCAGGAATGCTGTGCCAGAAATCAGAAGTCTCCTCATATCTTAAGAATTATCAACTCCCAAGCAGTTGCTGGGAAGTTTAGAGTAACAGCTACATGAGTGAACCCTTGCTGAAAGCCTGCCAGGTTCAGTGTCTGCAAAAGGGAAGGTGTTTGTGTTCATTCCCATGCCAAGATTCCTGTTCTTATCTAATTTGAAGATCCTTGCTGGCGATTAATGGGTGCCAGGGATTTATCTTGATAAAGTTCAAGGGCTGGTCTGTGTTTCAGCTGAATCCTTAGGGACTAAAGAACTCAGCTGAAATATTTCTTTTCCTTTTGGTGAACCATTTTATTTAACCACTAAATAAAATAGCAGTGTGAAGGTTTGTAATATGGGATGAACTGATGTGATTTTAAACTGAAAATTCTGAAACTTGTCTTGCAAGACCTTATTGTTGTTTATTTGTGCTTATTAGTAATTAATTGAAAGGACCTTCAAAGTTCCTAATTTCGAAAAAAATGATGAGAAAAGTATGTGTGGGACTATAAAAAGTACCTAAAAAATCTGTACAATTCAGATAATTACTTGTTTCCTAAATATTAAGACATATTTCGAGTTTATTTTTAAAGTAGAAATTTAAGACCTAAGGCATACTCAGAGGTAGAGTTTCTGCTTGGTTTGTGACAGATCATGGGCTAAACCCAACACAAGACACAAGGATGGAAGAATAAAAATAAACATACTTGATAGCAGTATAGTCTCAAAGTGAGTGCTACGTATGTTGCATTTGTTTTTTTTTTTCAAAGCAACTTCAAACTATTTTGCTTTTGTATAGCTAATTCCCATTGAAGAGTGATAAGTTTAAATTTTTAGGCTATCTTTAAAAAATGTAGAATGTACTTTTCTAGTAGTTTATATTTTTGCTTACAGGATGAGCATAATGGGCTAAATATCTCTTCTACAGAAGGTTTTAGCCTTTACACTGAAACTTTACTGTAGTAATAGAATGTGAACATGCCATATATACACATATTATTTATTTCCATCTTAATTAGATCATGTGATTTTGGATTTTATTTTAATATGGCCCAGAGTTTTAGTAGTATCGTGTTACTGCTCAGATTTGAGCCAGGTGATTGATCCAGAAATTATCAATTTTATTTTTGTGTACCAGTTCATAGTTTGAATACATAGCAGGAGAGAAAACGTGATCACAAAGGTGATTTTCCAGGGTCAGTATTATCCATTGCACTAGAGATGTGCTGACCCCTGACATTTCTTCAAATGTGGGAAACTTGACTGCATGATTTCTGGTAGTGGGGACCTATCTTCATTCTCTCCCCTATTATAATTAAAAACTAAAATAAAACTTCATTTTGTATTTCTTGTCAGGTATTTTTGTAATTTAGCAGTATATGCATAATTTCTTACCATGAAAATCTCCATTTTTGTTCTGTGTAGATGACTATAATGTAGATATTTAAGTGCTAACATGAATATGATGGTTGGAGAACTTAGTGAACATACTAAAAACCATTGAATTGTATGCTTTATGTGCATGAATTGTAAAGCATATGAATTATAGCTTTGCAAAACTTGAAAAGCAGTTCATCAGGAAGCAGTGACTGAAGTCAGACAATCTGAGTTGGGCTGCATTCCTAAAAATCTTCTTTGATAAATTACTTTACCTTTCTGAGCTTGTTTTATAACTTCAAAAGATGTTTTTTTAATTTTTTTTCATTTTTTATTTTAATTTTAAATAGCTTGTTTTACATGTCAATCCCAGTTCCCTCTCCCTCCCCTCCTCCCGCACTCCCCTTCTCAAAAGATGTTTTTAAAAGCTGTTTGGTGGCACATATCTGTAGTCTCAGGACTTGTAAAGGGTGAGGACAAGATGGTAAGAGGAGGATTAGGAATTCAGGGGTCTAACTTGGGCTCCCTTTTATACCCCCCCAGTTATTTATTTTTTTTTAAATTTTTTTTTGGTTTTACGAGACAGGGTTTCTCTGTATTGTTTTCGAGGCTGTCGGTCCAGCCCAGCCTCGAACTCACAGAGATCTGCCTGCCTCTGCCTCCCGAGTGCTGGGATTAAAGGTGTGCGTCACCACCACCCGGCTTTAATGATATTAATGTATACCTTAAGATTGTTTTTCAAATTGAACTATAAATTTTTGAGAATATGTGCAAGACTGAGCAGTAAATAACTGAACTAATAAAAATATGCTGTTTTCCCTATTGAAAGTATTATTAATGGTATGCTAAATGTTTAAAAATGAAGTCAAGGTTTTGTTGTGTTTTAATGAATCATGGATGAATAAGGATTGTACCTGTTAAGGAAAAAAAACGAAATATAGTATTTGATGAACTTTGACCAGTTTATATACTTGTGTTACACAAAACATTAGTCAAGATTTTCCCTTTTCACCCAGCTGTTGTCCCTGTCCCTCAGAGGCAATTGCTATTTTACCTTTTTACCATTTATTGGTTTGCCTGCTCCAGAACTTTTTAAAAAAGGTAGTAAAGAGTATGCTCTTGATCATAGTTTCCTTCATTTAACCTAACACCTTTGAGATTTATCCATGTTGATAAGTTACATAATAGTATCCTACTCACCATTTAAAAGTTTAGTTTTTCTGTATGAAGGACATTTGAGCAGTTGCCAGTTTTCAGCTACTTTAATGCATCTGCGAGCATAATTGTATACTTAAATTTTCTTGAGTAAAGTTCTGCAGTACTGTTATTGGGTCATAGGGTAAATTTCTGTCTAAAATCTTGATTGTAGAGCAAGTAGATTTTTTTTTCCACTGCTGTGAATTGAACACTGGCCCTCAGGCATATTAGGCAAAGTACTGTGCTGCTGCCTGCCCACAATTTCACTAATATCCCCTTGCCCATAATTTCACTAACCTAAATGTTATTCTTCCATTGGTAAATATCTGTTGTATGTATAAAACAGATTGCGATGGTTCTTTCAGGAACAAATGTGACACTGAATTGTTGATATTTATCATTTTTCTACCTAATTGTTAGAGCATAGGTTTTTTTTTTTAACATATTGGTATATAAATTTCTGGCAAGAGTAGAAAAAGAAAACACAGATTATGTTTAGTATTGTTTTCTAAGGGTGCCACCAGCACATATGTATGTGTGCATGTGTGTGCATGCACACACAGAGGTCATATCTACTTCCCTTTAAGTTACTGATCTTTATCTGATATAGGCACACCATTTTGGGATTGTGGGCTCAGGTGGCTGTTGCTTCTATTTTTTAGTATATAGTTAACATTGGCAGTCACCCTTATAATGATGTGACACAGCCACCCCCAAGTACATTGAATACGCCTTGCCTAGCACAAGATAACTTGATTTAATTGGCAACAGTGTTTGCCCTCAAATGATAGTCACTGAAGTAAAACGGAACGCATTTCACTTTGTCCTTTTTTTAAATTAACAACAGATATGTATTTTTTAAAAATAATAGAATTGTGTGATTTAAAAAGTATGAATACATTTATCAGGATAAAGTGCCTAAGTAATTTTGTTTAAAAATCAAACTTTAAAGCTATTAAGGGAATACTTTGAGCTTACAGTATTGTCAACAAAAGATGTGATTAAATAAATTGAATGTTGAAGACTTTAAGCTTATGGTTAACACTGGGTAATTAAAAGTAAGAGCTGCTGTGGGAGTACATTATATATCAGCTGTCCTTTTACCTCATTAACTGGGGTTTTGCATGTTTATGGAGCTAACTTCAATTAAAAATGCCTTTTCGGTTATGTCTAACAAGGTCTTTTAGTTACTCTTTTAGTATAAAGTATTGCACTTTAATTGAAATTGGTATATCATAAATACCTGTGTTTGAATAATACATAATATGAACAACTGTTATTTAGCACCTTTTCTGTTCAAAAAATTGTCTATTATTTTCTGTGATATAACCAAAAGCTATCATATTTCATGAGCTGTACACATGTATCCATTAATTGTACAGGTATCGTCTTTTAAAATACTTAAGGTTTTATGATTTCAAATTAGCAGTGCTTTAAAATCCTTCCTGAAACATACTGAGTTTTCTACATCAGTTCTGCCATTTACAAAAAAGTTAATTACTTGTCTTCTTAAATTCCAAAATTGTTTTTTTCCCCTGCAAAAATTAACTTTGGTTATGTTTATTAGAAAATTCAAGATGATCTTAAATTTGGAAACATATAGTAAATGTTGGTTAAAATGTTAAAATTTGTTATTTTCCTAGGACATTGTCCTAGTTTTAAAAACAATGAGACTGGGGAGATAGCTTGCCAGTAAAGTGTTTGGTGTGCAAACAAGAGGGCCTGGGTTTGATCCTTACAAATCAATGTTTTAAAAGCTTATGTGTGTTGAAGGGAGAGTTGGGAGGTGGCCGGAAAGGTGGCTTAGAGGTTAAGAGCACTGGATGCTCTTTCAGAGGACCTGGGTTTGATTCCCATCACCCACATGGTAGTTCACAACTGTCTGTAACTCTAGTTTCAGGGGATCCCATGCCCACTTCTGGCCTCTGTGGGCACCAGCCAAATATACAATACAAAGACATATGCAGACATGCCATGCATATACATTAAAGACAAACCAAGCAAGCAAAAACCTGGATGTACATACTCTTGTAAATCCAGTCCTGGGGAGATAGACTCTAGTGAACCGTGGGGTTCATCAGTCAGCCATCTTAGCTTACTCAGCAGTTTGGTTCTGAAGAGTAACATCCAAGGTTGTGCTCTCTCTTCTCTCTTCCCTCCTTCTCCAAAAGAGAAAAAGGCACATAAATATGGACAGCAGTGAAGAGACTTTAAGGTGAATGAATGTTCTAAAGAACACATCATCTGGGGAGTGTTGGTGCACCCTTTATCCTCTGCACTCAGGAGGCAGAGGCAGGTGGATCTCTGTGAGTTCAAGGCCAGCAGCCTGGTCTACAGAGACAGTCTGGCCTACACAGAGAAACCCTGTCTTGAAAAACCAAACCAAACCGAACCAAAAAAGAATACATCGAAAAATAAGATAAGAAAGAAAATGAGTTATGTTCTTTTTATTTTGAATGTATAATTAATGTAAATAATTTACATTTTAAAACCTTCATTACAGAAGTGTCATCATTGCAACAAAAAAATCAGCTGTCTTACCTCCCACCCTTCCTACAAGTGCAACTTCCAATGCTGTCAGTGTGGTTTCTTCAGTGGATTCCACCCAAGTCTCAGATGTGGGAGGAGAGTCATCAGGTGAGTTAGGTGTCAATGATATCAACATAATTTTTAGATCCTATTTTAGCTAATCATAGGATTTTCTAATAAAATCAAGAAATTTGTAAGGTACTTTATAAACCTGTTTTACTATTGTTTACTAGTATCCTAAAGAAATCTGAGTAAAATGAAAAAGTAAAATCAGGACTGGAGATTGAATTCCATTGGTAAAGTACTAGCCTCGCTTGTTTTGAGCCCTGGGTTCAATTCCTGGAACCACATGAACTGGTGATGCAGATACCTAAAAGCCTAGCACCCGGAAGGTGGGGGCAGATGATCAGATATTCAAGGCTTTATAGGGATTAAAGACTTGCTTCAACTATATGAGACTTATTAATGATTGTTAAATGTATATCTACTATATACTACTTTGTTTATATTTCTGAATTAGAATCTAGGAAACTATTTGCTATCCTTAAGTAGTATGTCATAATTGTACTAGCCATAGTGGTGCACAATTTTTTTTACAGTTATTTTACTTTGTCTAGCTTTCTTTTCACATTTCTTTATACAATGAAAGCATATTAACTAATGAATATCAGATCATAAATCTATCTATGTTAGCTGAAGGTTAGAGATAATATAAGTAAAACTTGGAGAATGCAGTGTTAAAAAAGCCAAGTAGGATACTGGGGAGATTACTTTGTCACATGCTCGCTGTGCATGTATAAGGACCTCAGTTGGGATCCCCAGCAACTATGTAAAAATAATGCTTATAATCTATCACTCGGAGGCAGAGACAGAAAGGTCACTGGGGTTACTTGCTACCCATCTTGCTGAATTAGTGAGCTTCGGGTTTGGTGAAAAAGTTCCAGACTAAAAAATAAGGTGGAAAGCAATATAAACATGACATTGATTTCTGACCTCCGCATGTACCAACATGGCCACATAAGAGCCTTCAAACACACTACCATGCAAGTAATGTTATGAAGTTAGGAAAAGGGAATATCTTATACCAGTAATATTGTTCAGGAGGTCATGCTGTTCCATAAACATAGTAACAAGGTGCTAGGAACCCCCAAAGGACTCACACTGTGACGCTAGAATAAGGTTACTTTAAAACAAGAAAGAATCCT